AAGAAAAAACCATAAACTGATAAACTTACAATTAAAATTAGAGTACTTAGCAGAATCTTTGATGACAATAACCTTAACTCCAAAATTTGACATATAACTAAGCTTTGTCCTTGGTCCAAAATATTGATGCAAAGATCAAGAATGTTATAAAATTCACACCTAAGATTTTTGGCATGTTTTTGACAGATAAAATGTTGATGGAATTGGGGAAGAAGGATGTATAGGGCAAGCTATGGGGTTTGACTGTTCCCATACATTTGCCACTCCGCATTGCAGCAATCTTTGCTGGGCTGCCAGAAATTGCAGCCGAAAGTAAAAACGATAAGATTTTTTACAGGAATGTGCAAAAACGAAAGGAAAAGCAAAGCATACAGACACTATCAATTTTTTTTTTTCATAAAAAAGGATCTGAAGGGTACAAAGGAAATATCTCTTAGAGGAGTTGTCTTTCAGAATCTAAGGAATTGTGAGGCCCACTCAAAACAATTCAACAAAAAATAAATAAGAGCAAAAATTGGCGTGAAAGAGTAAGGGAGGATAGTTTGGAAGAGTAGTGGGACGACTTTCAGCGAATTGTAAGTAAGAAAAGGACAATAAATAAAGATTAAAAGGAGAGGGAGTATAGTTGGCTTTAACCCCAATACTTTAGATTAGAAAGAGTTTAAATTCGATGTAAAAATAAAACTTAAAACCTATTGCTTTGCCGCTACTCTCTAAGAGGAAAAACCCTAGTCGCATGGATGGCTTAGTCCATCCAGTGTTGGGGTTTCCTAGTGTTTTTTTTCTATCTTTTCATATTTGCTACTTGATCCCTCCATTTATGAGGGTTTGTGCCACCCTGTGGTGTGGCTTTGTCCCTTCATTAGTTAGGGTTTGTGCCGCTCTATGGTGTGCTTTTATACCTCCACAAATAGGGTTTAATATCATCCTTTATATGATGTCACCACTCTGATGGTGCGAAGCTTATTTCATTTTATGATGTGATGGATGAAGTTTTGCTACAACCTTTGAATTTTATGAGTGTGAAAGTAAATTTTTATTTTGAACATTTTAAGGTTAGGTTCTTAAGGGTGTTTGTGATTTCTTTAATCTTGGATGGATGTTAAAGATTATGGCTCATCAATCTCTCTATAGGAGATGCTTGGAAGTGATGACTTTAGGTTAAGGATTATTATTAGCTACAAGTTGTTATGGTGTCAGCCGTATTATGGCAGTATAATTAACTCTCGGAGGCAACGAGATAACTAATATTCATATATATATATATATATATTTAATTATCTTTTTTAATTTGTTATATTTTCTCATTACTTTGTATTTTAGTGGATATATTAACCGTAAAATATGAAAATTATAAACGGTTAGATTGCCTCTAAATGAATTAAGGTTATATTGTACTTAATTTACCTCTTTAATTCAATACAAAATTATCATTTTTCTCAAAAAAAAAAAAAAAATCGATGTAAAAATAAAGTGCAATAGTTATTTATTTTTGAACGGAGGTAAAAGCAGCACCGTCTCCATTTTCAAAGTAGTACAAAGAGACTAGTAAATCTTAACTACCATTTTCCTCAGAAAAAAACCTTAACTACCATTCAAAAAGCAGAGGGGCTTAAATCTAATCACCTTTGACTGCAGATTAATGATAGCGTTTAGATTTCATAGGCACCGTGGTATTGATTCGGCAACTTTTAATTAGTTTAACATTATTAATTAATTAACTTAGTTTTGTAAAATTTTGGAAAACGCATCTTGAGAATCGGTGTGACAAGCTTTTTTTATCATCAGAAAAGAAAAGAAGAATGACTTTTGACCGTCTCCTCCACAAAAAGTCGCATAGAGTTTCTTTCTTTTTGTGGGCACGCTGTTGTTGCTGTGCAATCATTTTTCTAATAAGGCTAAAAGCAGTTACTAATTACAATTACCGTTTTAACCAAAACTTTGTGTATGGTTGTAGTTTTTAGTTTTTTTATTTTTTTTATTTTTTTTATTTTTTTAAGAATTTTTTTAATCTACGTTTTAAGGGTATAGATTAAGAATATTGAAAAAATAAAAAATAATATTTAATTTATTAATTATTTAATTAAATTTATTCACATGACATTGATTTTAAAATTAATGTTTATTTTTATATTTTTTTTATAAAATTTATTACAAAAAATGCTTTTAATTTGTACCTTAAGGGTACAAATTAGAAAGATTTTTTTTTAATTCTTATTTTTTAATTCAAATTGTATCAAATTACAAAATAAGGGTCATTAAATAAAGGAGAGGCATATAATATCAGGGGTTTATTTTTATTTAATAGTTAATATTATGTAATTCATTATAATTTGAATTACACAATATTTTTTATTTAATTTTTATAAATTTTATAATTTTAAATAAAAAACTCATTTAATTCA